TTTTTTTTTTAGTAAATGTACATAGAGTTATCTAGTATTTTACAGACCCAACATACAAAGATTAGGGAGTTTGGGGCTTTCATAAGAGTCTTTTAATGGCTCTATAAGCTCTTTTATCCCAAATTTCCCTATCTCAGTCTTAGCCTGCATTCAAAGATGTTCTACTCCTTACTTATATTCTTGCTTTATCACCAAATTTTGAGTATAAAGAATTCATAAATCCATTTTTAATACGGCTGATGTCTTTGAAATTGACGTGGTCCCTGACCATTTCCTCGTGGCTTACCTTGAACCCCATATCCCATGTTGTCATATCCATCATAACCAGCATAATCATAATTTGCGTACATATCGTCATATCCCCCTTGATAGCCATTACAATATTCAGGAATGTAACCATAGCCTCCGCCATAACCGTAACCATAGCCTGGACCCCAAAATCCTTGATTCCTTGGGTCTGGATTTACTTTTACTTTTTTGACATCCACTTCTTTTCCATTTATCGTTTGTTTAGGTGTTTTTAATAATTTGTAGACAACTTCTTTCGAGTCAAATGTTATGAAACAAAATCCTTTTCTCTGATTTTTTACCTTATCAAATGGTGCTTGCAATTCAACAATTGTACCATATTGTCCAAAATATGTTTTGATATCTTCATCGGTAATTTCAGGAGTGAGGCCTCCCACAAAAATTTTACCATGTTGTGGCTTTTTACTCACCCGCTTGGGATCCACCTATACCAAAACAAAGCATATTTTAACTATTTTTATCTCGAAGAAACAAAATGTAAAAAAAAAAAAAAGAAAAAAAAACAGAGAAATAATTTTTAATCTTATATATTAAGTTTTAATTTCAAAAATATAACCAACCTTTCTTTTATTGATGTAATGCTCCCCTGAAGCCAGAAGTTTGTCGATCGTTTTGGGATTAGTAAATACCATAAACGCAAAACCTCGTGAAATACCGGTATAAGGATCAATTTTAACAGAGATACTTTCAATCTCACCAAATTTACTAAAATGATCTCGTAATTCTTTGTCCGTAGTATTACGCGATAGGCCACCAACAAAAAGTTTGCGTTCGTCATCTTTGCCTGGAATTCCGGCGGTAGCTTGTTGTTGTTGTGGTTGTTGCTGTTGTGACTGTGATTGTTGTTGTTGTTGGGATTGCTGTTGAGACTGCTGTTGTTGAGTTTGTGTCTGGCCGGTACTCTCGGTCTGAGCTTGATTCTGGTAACAGTCAACTGCCGCCATCGTGTATCGTTTAGAGCTTACCGCGTTAAAATCACGTCAGAAAATATAAAGTGGGCTGGTCGAACTGATGAGATCAGTAAATGCAACGGTGTACTGCGCACCAGAATAATTTCGGAGCAGTTGGCACGCGTCACAGTCGGTTCTTATGGTGAACCGGTGCCGGCTTACGACCGAAAGAAAGAGAGTCAGCAACAGTTTCCGATTCCCTCTAAGCCTGTATTAACATGACGCTATTCGTTCTTTCTAGTGAGACGCAATTCATCTCTCCAATCACAATGGTAGATCCAAGAGACATTGCCGGAAATTCCAGTTTATTTCCGGTGATCGTTTCATTACTAACTTTAATCAGTTTTTCAAGGAAGTGGAAAATTGACATGTCGATATAATTATTTGTTCTTTAAATTTATAACTTATTTTTATAATGCTTTTAAGTTCACGTAATGGATGGTTATCGAAAGTCCTTGAACATTGCTGAATCCGAACAATGCACGAACACCTTTGTTCCTAACTATGAGATCAGGGCTTTCATTCGTTGAAAAATGCATATTTTTAATTCATATTATGACAATCATATCATAACATTTTTCATAGATTAATAACTTTTTCCTTTGCTTTTTCATATAAATATTGACTCAGGTTAGGTTAACGTTTAGGTTGTCAAATTGATTTTTGTTAATGATGTTTAAATTTGCAGGATATCATTGTTATTCTATATCTACAAATTATTGGAACATATATATATAATTAATTTACACAATCACGTTATTTTAATATATTCTTGAAGTTGTAAAACTGAAATCACTGTAATTATAATGCACACATTTCGATCAAATTCGATATATAATTTATCTACTCTTTACTTTAAGTATAAGTATAAAAGCAACGAAACGATTTATGCAATTCAATCGGTAAGTATAGGAATGTTTATAAAATAAAACATGAAAATTAAAATATAAGTAACGTATTAATTATTTGAATTGATATCGATTATATAATCGAAAATATTTAATCGAAAATAATAAAAGATAATCTTTATTTATTTTTAATTTTTATTCTAAAATTTAGGAACACGTGGTGTTCTTACTTGTTTGTGCACCGTTTAAAGTCGCTGCTTTCTTAATACATATGTAAATATAGTCAGACAGAAGGTTGTATAAATAAAACACAGGCCCTCGGCAATCCCGGCTTATCTTTTCTTCAGTCGAACAGTTTAAGAATAGAATAAGGTTCTACGGGATAGACTGACTTGTTGTTAATTATAGAGCACTCTCTTATATGTACCTTTACAAAAAAGATATAAAAATTATAATATAAAAACTATCATGTGAAAGGATATATATAAACATTGAAATTGCAAAATAAAAATTTTTATTAATATTTTCATTAATATGTATATTGAAAAAAGTTTTCTCTTCTTGCACTGTTTTATCGCAATTCAGTCACGAAAATAAATGCTAATAAACTCACTCGATGGCGCCACTAGATTTAATAGCACAAGAAGCGGCACAATAGCATATAAAATCGTTATAGTTCTTTGGCAACTTGATTTGTACATTTTAAATTGAAATATCATATGTGGAAGTTATTTAATTAAAAATAAAAAATAAAAAATTAACAATGTGATGTTAATATGCCAGAAAGTTTTATAAGTTTGTAAATTTTTTTAACAAATATCTTTTATAAAATTATTCGAGTAAGATTTTATTTTTGTTAATTATATAACAATGTCAATCACATCTATCCTTGACAGTATTATTTTTATTACAATGATTATATTTTTCTATCTACGTTCTTCGTCTTTTCTAGGATACGTTAACGTATTGTCATATGTTGTTGAAATAAGTCACAATCTTGTCCGTAATTAATTATATAAATAGATACGAGCATCGCGCAATACAAAATATACAATTTATACTTGATGCATATATCCATATGCAGAGATAAATAAATACATATGTATGTATGTAAGCTAGGTTCAAGTAAAGGAATATTTTTAATTCGTGAATGATATAATAATTTATTTAATACTTACATATGTTTGTAAATGTTCATATTTATACATATATATATTTTATGTTTTCTCATATTCTTTTTAATGTTATGATTTATAGTAAGAAAAATGATATCGAAAAATAATTTTCAAAGTTCTCTCTTCA